CACTTTCATGGTTAAAAATTTATAATGATAATAATAATAATAATAATAATGATTTTAGCTGGTAGTAATAAAATGAGATACTGCAACAGCTGCAACTATAATATAGACATACCTACTTATTTTTTAAATAAATTTATAATTATAGGTACTCATAAATAAATAAATATGTAGCATTATTGAATAATTTGACCAGGTGTCAGGTGATGGAGATTTAAAGTATGTTATAAGAAAATATTTTTTGTGAAATTAGTTGAATAATACATTATGTTAAATATATCAATATATGTCATGTTGAAATAGTTCTCAAAAACGTGAATCATTGAAATTTTTTCTGATACTAATAGTAGTGATGATTATTTATCAATAACCTAATAAAAGAAAACCATCAATATAATGAATAGTTAGTGACTGTTTTCCATTATTATTATTGCTTTTATTATAAAATTGTGAAGGTGAGTTATAATAATTATACGTAAAATTAAAACTGATTTAATAACAAAAAAATTATCACACACTAATAATAAGTAATAATTATGCATCACACTCAAACGGGAATGTCCGGCTTAGAAGACACTGACTTTACCGTATTATATATATCACAGGGAAATTACACACTCGTACACTTATTTGCCACCCACACAAAAATATTTACCGGATTGTATTTTAAAGGGGTTTCACAATTTTTGTCCACGAATTCTTCGCTTACAAAAAATATTTACCTATTTTAACATTACAAGGAAATTGCACACTCAAAATCGGTTTTTCTGCTTATAGGTACTTGAAAATATAATTTACCGTATACATGCCAAATTTTTTTCGATCGATTTTTTTCACTAAACTATACCATAAAACTGAAATAATAACTTGTAAAACAATTTAATGAAATTATGAGAAAATTGGAGAAAAAGAAACAAAACTTGATTTAACAACGGATCATTACAGTAACTTATAGTAATTTAATATGAAAAAAAAATAATATTCAATKAATTATAACTTAAAAATATAAATATTTTTGAATAAATCAATAAAAAAAATAAATCATAGCCTAGCCAACAAGAAGGAAAAAAAAATTGAAAATATAGTAATTAATATATTTCAGTTTTGTAGTATTGTTAGGTGAAAAAAGCGGTGGCACACGGTAAATATTTTGTGTAACTGAAGAATTGGAGTACCTATACTTAACACAGTTTAAGCATAGACAGTATCTAATGACACATATAGCCAGGGGCGCCCGCAGGAAATCAGCTCAGTGGGTGCAAATTGAAATGCATGTTATATATTTTACATATATTTATATTATTATATAAACATAACTACAAATTTAATGTAAAAAATGTATAATGATATAAATTATACCTAATAAAATTACAATGCATAGGTACCTAGCTATTATAAATTATTAATAATATTATATGAATTATGAATCAAATAGTAA